AAAAGTTTTTTTTTTTTTTTTTTTTTTTTTGCCAAAAAAGCTCTCATTAGCTCTACAGATTCAAGTCACACAGCCACAATGAGAAATATACCATGACTCTGAGGTGAATTTAAACTATCATGGTTTGACTGGAACTTTCATCCTAGCCAATTCAGATGCAGCAGCTCGAAACCTCTGGAAATACTTGCTAATGATTTTATATATTGGGTTGTCAGGAAAGTCATGACATAACTTTTTTCTGTTTTTCTATGCCAAACTTTTCTATGCAAGACTTTTCTTACAGCCTAATATATATATATATATATAGAGAGAGAGAGAGACAAATATATACATATATATACACACACATACACGGACATATATGTATGTGTATCTATAGATAAAGAAATATATATATATATTGTGCATTTTCAGGCTAGGAGTAAACAAGGGAAACAAATTCCTCTCTAAGACTTAAGCTTATCCTGCTAACAAGAATATGGTTTGAGTCTCAGAATGACCAATAAGTTGCTGTGAACTAATCAATAAATGACGTCATGTTTGCGGATGACCCACTTACACTATTAGGCTTTGATGTGAAGAACAGGGGTGGAGACTAACTAAACGCCCCAGGAGGAGGACCAGTCAGTCAACCGGGAAATCATACTTTAAAAGGAGGTGGCCATTCAGTACCACATCAATGCCAGTAAAACTGAGTTAAATATTAACAATACTCAAAATATGAGCATTGTTCCCACAGGGCCCTGTCTCTATCCCTCATTCCTGGATATGATCCAGAACTTTGTCCCAAACAAGGGCACATGAGAGGATGAAAATGCATTTGCACCAGAACCTGTCTTGAAGCAATAAAACGACTGCTTCAAACAATCCCGAGAGCATCTGCAGAAACTTGAAATAAAGCTTATTACAAACAAATGGCCAATCTCAGCACAAATAAAGGTGATTCAATGCAGGACTTTTTTCCTCTAACAACTCCAAATTCTGGGCAGCTTAGCTAAGAAATTAAGGTTAATTTTGTTTGTTCTTAATTGCCACAGGGATCTTATGCTAGCCAGAGAGAGACAGAGGGGAGAGAAAGCCCCCCAGATGGAGCACAGTACACTGCAATCCCTTCTCTACTTCTCCATCCTGTCAGGACTCTGGCCATGCATGCTCATGTGCCGACACGTTTTTCAGGCTTCCAGGGTCAGGATGCAAATCCTGGTCACCTATGTGGGATCCAGTTCCCTTACCCACTGGGCTACGGGGCCAGCCCCCAAGTTACTTGAATCAAAAAGTTAACCAAATTTGCCACCACCCGCAACCTAGGAGTAGGTTCCTTGAAACTAACTCTTGTTCACATGCAGAGGGCCTCTGAGGAGGAAGGAAGAGAGCCCAGACCTTTCCTGAGAAACAGTCCGATCACCCATCTTTTTACTCTAAATCCCAAAACGAAGAAAGCAAATCAGTGCTTGACTGATTGGTTCTTTAGCTAATGACTGATCCAAAAAGGGATTAACTGTATTTATTTCTTCCATGAGTAAGAGAAAC